CATCTTTAAATAAAAATGTTTATTTCATTGGATTTTATTAATTTTTATCTGAAAATTTGATTATAAGAATGATCGAGACCTTGCAGATACAACTGGCTTGACATTATTTAGAAAACTATTTTGAAGATAGTTAATTATTAAAATATTTTAAATATTTTAATCATTAAATTTAAAAAACTAATTAATAATAAATTATATCTAAATCAAAGGGATAATATATTTTTATGAAAATAATAATTAAAGAAAAAAGGGTAGAGCAAAAAAGCTTTATATTCAAACCAGTTGTCATGTCCCTATTCCTTATCCATATCATATCATTCAATTTTACCAACTACTACTTTTCCTTTTTCCCTTTCCAAAAATGGAATATTCTTCATTATACCTCACTTGTTTGTTAGTTATTTAATGAGATTTGGGGGTGGTTTACCAAATGCTTATTTGGGTAAGTAGTTACCAAGTTATGTTATTTTATTGGATGAATATGGTAAGAACCAAAAATCTTACCCGGTAAGAACAAGGCAAGGATTGAGAGTCTTAATCGGTAAGTAAGGGCAATGACTCTTACCACGGTCAACTCTTAACGGGTAAATTGTTGCATATAATATTGTTTTTGTTGACTAAAATCTTACCCGCTAAGTAAATAATAGTATTGAAATTTACCGGTAAGTGCTTAGTGGTTAAGTGTATGGTAAAAGACCCCTAAGAGTTTAAATATAATGATTTGATAGTAGCTTAATGATATAAAATATGTATTATTCAATAAGTTGTTAGGACTGATTTATACAGAAAATCAAGTTTTTTTTTAAATATTAACTTTCCTATTAAAAACAAGTTTATTCATTTTATGAAAAAACTCGGCTAAACAAAACATTTTTTTTATTTTTACTGATAGATTAATCCATACAGACTTACTAATGTAATTAATGAAAAACTAACCAAACAACCCCTTAATTATATGTAATAATTTTCATAAACTCAATAAATTATACAAATAAACCAGGTTTCGTGAGTTTTTTATATACTAAATAACTTGTGAAAAATGAGGATGTTTATACGGTATTAGTCGTTAACGTTTCAGTATAAACACCCACGTTTTCACACGGATTGTTTTATGTGTTAAACAACACATAAAGAACTCATTTATAGATTTATACAATTTGCCATGTTGGTAAATGATTATGCATTTACCTACTTATGTAAACTTTACTCATTATTTATATCCTAGAAAGATACTTCTACAATGTAATAAAATACATCTTGATTTTAATGTTTCATTTTATTTTTTTGTCTATGTTCATATTATGATAGGATTTTATGTTTGAATAAATTATAAATTAGAATATCTCATAAAAATCTAAAAAATATATCGATAGTAATGTCAATTTAACTATTAAAATTCTCGTTTTTGTGTAATTTCTTTAATTCAAATTTTTATTACAATTTGATTTTAGATTTAATAACAAAATAATTTATTTTCGATTTAATAACAATATTTTTTTATAGAGATAATAATTAAGTGTTATATTAGAACTCAATGATTATCCTAATTATATTTTATTTTTTTAATATTTAAAATGAGATGTTTATCATGTATTTGATTATGATTATCTACAGTTAGTTATATGAATTCAGAATAGAGCTTTAATAAATTGTATTTATGTACAATTTATTTGTAATATTAAATTTTAAGTAATATGCATCAATAAACAGTACCTGATGCATAAAAAATGGATTTTTAGAGTTTTTTTTATCAGATACCTTATGATATAATATAAATAGTCTTTAGTTACCACTTTTGTAACAATTGCCTATAATAACTCGTTTGTTTTGGAAGGTAAAACAAGCAATTAGATTAACGCCAATAATCTATATATATATTAAAGAAGAAACCACATGCAATGATGTGGCTTCTTCTTAAAACAAGAAAACCTTTTATCTTTTTTCTCCTTTTCTCAAGCTTTTCCTACCCTAATATTTKTTTTTGATTTTTGATATTCACATTTATGATCCTTTAATTAGGTTGTTTCAACCTATTCATGTTC